CAATTGAAGGTCCAGTATAGTACAGAAGAGCAGCCAGCGGAAGAACAAAGATGCTTCGGCACCTGCCACTGACCATACACCTCCTTTGGCTGGACCAGTCTGTTCAGCATACATGTATATCTACGAAAGCACCTGCAGCAGATGTGTACGTCAAAGTCATAACTATAAAGACAAACTTGACCACTTAACTGTCAAGATGGCATATGCATGTCAAAACATGGTGGATGTGACTTCCAAAAGAGTGAACTTGTGCAATTTTTAAAAACATTTTTGAATGCTTGGCCAGATTACAGTGGAGCCATCCACAATTCTGCATATTATTTACCAGTTGCCAGTGTGCTTTCCAACAGCATCACTTTACCTGCCAGTATTTGAACATGTTTTAGGTGAGTGAGATTGCCAGATTTTCTGGGGTTTTTTGGGGGGGGGGCAAGAGGGGTTGGTTGGTGGTGTTCAAGTGTTCTTCAAATTGAAACTTGCTTGTTTGTGTTTGGTTTGTGTGAGTACTGGAGCTAATAGACCTTTGCACATGTCATTCTCTTGTATGCACTTTCTGTAGAAGTCACCAACTACAAATCTACTTGTTTTCTGCCAGTTGCCAGTGTGCTCTCCAACAGCTTCACTCTGCATGCCAGTATTTGAACATGGTTCAGGTGAGTGAGATTGATCATGAAACTTTGTTTCCATTGCCATTATTGAAGCAAATAATTGGAAGAGTACCTTATTGGGACTTGAATCACAAAGGATGTATCAGGACCGTCCAATAATCAAGTGGCGTTGCTGAGGCGCTCATGTGACCTGTCACATTGTCATACTTAGTCAAACAACAGAGAGCAGTTTTACATGTGGGCTAGCTTGTATCCTCAATTTCTGTTCATCTGATCATCTGATGGCGGTGCATGTGAATTTTTACCGTTGCACATATTTTGCATTTCTAGCGGTGGTCCTCCCTGGCGATGATCTTAACATTGTCCACGGATATGTTGTCTCAAGTCAGATCTGAAATATTTGTGGATGATTTTTTTTAAAACCTACTCTATTTTCAAACTTTAGACAATGTTCAGACTTTGCTCATAGAAATACACGCGGACAAGTGCAGTCTGACCTATTTACCTCAAATTTGAGGTAAAAGGCAAATTATGCAGAATATGCTATTGACAAATTGAATTGTCCTTGAATGAGGCATTTGCAACGGCACCTACATCTCTGCAAATAGTGCACCTTGAATGCAACTGGTAGCTTAAAATTGAGTGTGCACACTAATTTTTTAGCATTTTGCATAAGTAAAGCCAGGTGGCAAATTGAACAAGACATAATTTTCTACGAGTGTTGTTTCCTGTAAACCACTTCCTATTTTATTGTATTCAGGGAAACATGCTGACTCTGTAGCAGATGAAATGAAGCAGTGCCAGCCTATCTGCTATCGCTCTGTTACCAACATCCAGCCTTATGTCATACAAGATGAAGTTACTCTGTGATTCTACGCTTTCAGCCACTATTGCGAGGCCTAATTGCCATATGGTTCAACCTAACAACCTTTGCGTATGCTGGGACCTCCAAGAAGCGTGAAATGTACATAGAGACTCTTTCTATGAAACTATGTCCAAAGCAACACTGATCACAATCCTATCATTGAATACAGTGCTTTGAAAAAAAGTAAGTCTGAAATCATGCACTGGATGAGCTAATTGTTGCCTGCATGAGATGTATGACTGCAAGTGACATGCATGTTTATGTTAAATCCATTGTTTGGTACCTGTAAATACAACTGGCAGTGTACAACTGTACATCTATGTTTGTATTAACACATTCAGTTTTAGTTTGATTGTTAAAATGGGGGGGGGGGGGCCTTATTAAGCTGTGTTTGTGTACTGAGATAATTTCTTGTAGCATGGCCCTGATAGGTGTGGAGACATATGCCGTCTCTAAAAATCTGAAAGTTTTTCTGCATCCTAGAGTATGTTTTGGGGAATAGTTTCCCTCTTCATTGTTTTAGCTGTAAATGTGTAGTCTTCATGTTATCCATCAAAACCTTTATAAATGCGCAGTAACGTTTATCAGGGACAGTTTGTATGAACTTATCTTACTTTTGGATGAAATAGCATGTTCAAAAATAGAATACTTTACAAAGAATAAGTTTAATTTGACTTCTATTTTTTTTGGGGGGGGGGTTGGAGTGTTGTGAGCATTACGCATGCTAGTAGAGACGTCCGGGCTGACTGTTAAGGAAGTAAATATACGCAAGCTTTACTTATACTGTGAATAATCCTTTACATTTCCAAAAGATTCAACAATTACAAAGGATATCAGATATGGTAAGGATAAGTAGGACTCATAACATCTATCAGCCTTACAATTTATAGTCCGTGCTTGTTTTTCAGGGACAGTCTGTATGCACTTATCTTACTTTTAGACGAAATTTGTCTTTTCCACTGTTTCTTAAGAGTTAAGAAAATAGCTATACAATGTATTGTCATTGTCAAGCATTTTGACAGTACAAAAAGAAAGTGACATCTATCATGTAGACAATTTAATTATTGGTATTTTGATCAATTGTATTTAAAGCCATTGTCACATATATGCGTTTTCCAATGTAGCAACCAACAAGTCATCAACCAAGCCTGTTCAATAAAATACTTTACAAAGAATAAGTCTTTGACTTATATTTTTTTGAAGTGATTGTACCTTTTTGGGGGGTGGGGGGTTTGGAGTGTAATGAGACTAATCATCTGAGCACGTACTCATTTGAATAAATAATATGATCGTGTGAAGTTTCACTAAACACATAAGTTTGTGCAGTCATTTTGTTCAACAAAAAACACTTTGTGCAACAGCTTTGATATTTGTTTTTCCGCATTATGTTTTTTAATTGAAGTTATGTTTTTCTGTTTCCAATGCATTATCATTTTGTGTGCCGTTACTGTTTTTGTTTATATATATATATTTAGGACTTGCAGACTGTACACCTTTAACATGATGCACTGGGACCCATTATGACATCATCATGGCTCCTGATTTTGAATCTATACTAATAAAGGAGCAACATCTGCCTGTTTGTCCGCCCTTCCCCGAAAGCAGAACAAACATGACTGAGACAAGTCTACTGATTGGCGAATGGGGGCGCCATCCACTAAATACGGTGCCGTTATATTTTTTTTGCAACGCGCTGTCCTAATTTGGTCCCGTAAAAGTGTTAAGGAAATATCGTCCTTCGACGTCATTTTGCGTTTGCAGCTGTAATGTAGAATGAGAACCAGACAATGGAACTTTCATGGACAGACCTCATTTATTTTAAATAAAGACGATATTTTTAGCAGACATGGTGAGGGGAAATGTGCAAGTTTTGGAAAACGTGGATTAACAATGATGAAAATTTCCGAAATACACAACATTTTTTTATCATACAATTCGCCAGAAAGTCCTTAATGCCTGGTGTACTGGATAAAAAAAATCGCCACGTAAGGAATCGCCACGTGAAGGGGTTTTGGCAATGCAAAAGAGAAATTTCCTGAACTAGATCACGCCCTGTGCCGCTCGTTACGCTGCCTTGCATAGCCCTATGCGCCCGGCTGTAACCGTTGAAGTTATGTACCGCCCTCTTTCGGCGAGAATGAAGGGACGTAATAAATTTATCAATCTTTAACGTGACGGCACGTGACCCATGATGACGTCATGATGACGTCACTCTTCGGGGCACAACTTTGCTATAGCGACTATGCTTATGCTAACTTTGAATGATGTTTGACAAAGATTAATGCCAAAAGTGGCGTGTAGAAAAAACGTGTACAAAGTCTATGGGATTTTGGCGACAAAAAGAAATAAAAAAAAAAAAAAAAAAAATCAGAACAAAAAGAAAGGCTTTTTCGCAAAATTGCGAAAAAGCCAAAAATAACAGAAACAAGAGCTGTTTCGGTGTGTACACCGAAACAGCTAAAAAAAAAAAAGCTGCGTCGCCGCACCACTTTTGGGGCAAGCTTAATACCAGAAACCGGAGACTTTTTTTTTTGGCCTTAGAGTACTTGTGTTTCTGTTGACACACTGTGCTCATTATGCACTGACTAGACTGGTCTTGGGCCAGTCTATTTCATTGTCTCGAATGTTTTTAGTCCATTAACATATAATCAAGGCTTAAAATTTTGAGATTCACCCTTTTACTCTTATTAGTCAGCCTCAAAATGTGTCAAAAATACTGGACATCCTTCATATCGTGAGCCACACAGAAAATGTCCTACAAAATTTATGTTCCCTGTATTTGAACTACATGTATATGAAGGCATTATGTTCTTACCTGGAAATATAATATTCTAGTACGTCTACACATGTGAGTATCCTCTACAAAATCACGCAGTCATTTTTGACAATTTGCTCGGCATGAATGCCCCTAACAATTACAGTAGGCCCTATATAGGCGCCTATAGTATGTAGGAGAATTGATTTTTTTTCCCCAGGTGAATATCGAGTCTAGATTTCAAATTTGGGGAACATAATTTTAAGGAAATTTAGCACACATTGATGTGGCTTATAATACGGTACAGTATTTGAGACGAATAAACGGGCCTATTTTTTTATAATATTTAACATAATACAGGTGAATGTGGAGTGAATTAATATGTGGCATGAAGAAACGTTCGCGACAAGGTAACAGCACAAACAATATAAATTAAACCACAAAAGCGTCGGGATTTTCTGTAGGATTTTGTCGGACAGAGAATGATAGAGTCGCACAACTATTTTGTAGTATAAATTGGACTTGTTTATTTTCTCTGAAAAAAAGAATGAAAAAGAAATCAAGATAATTTGTTCACTGGTTTCTCGTGAAGAAATTTGAGGATGCAGGGGGGTTCTGGACAAAAATGAGGAGCAGGACCTGTTCAGGTTAATAGGCCTATGTCTCACTTTTCTCGAGTAGGCTTAAATCATGTGACATTGTGCCATATACAATGTTTACCTTTCTGCCGCAAAAACAAGCTGCATAGGCAAGTTATATACTGTGGTTACTTACCTATACTTTGGTGTACCGGAAAATCGCCGACACTGGATCATGAACATGGCGAGAAAACCTTGCCTTCGTTGCGATTGAAAAATAAATCTGTAAAGTACAAGTTTATTCATAGTCAAAATCGATGGCATCCTACTAATAGCCAGCCATCAGTGAACTGCGTCAGTTCGAATTCCTCATCGTCCACTCAACACAAAATTATTTCTCATTGGGGAGAATCCCACTGCCCAACATGCTGTACACACAAAATATTTCTCATAGGGGAAAATCCCTCCGCACGCAATATACAGCAGCGGTGTCATAGTTAAATGGAACCCCTAATTCACAGTTCTAACGACCCATAGCCACGGTTTCCTACAATATCGGGACTCCCACAATAATAATAATAAAAACATATATAATCATAATGAAATTTATATAGCGCCAAAATCCGCCAAAAATACGCTCAAGATGCGGTCAATTGTATCGAAAGCCTTATATAAAAAAAAGATCAACAAATACACCAACAGAGAGCAGTTTATCAGAGAGAGAGAGAGAGAGAAAGGGAGAGAGAGGGGGGGGGGGAGGTAATCAACTTCGCTCGTACCCACCCCCCTGCACACAGGGCGCTGGGATATGCTGATGAGCTTCACAGAATCTTGTGAAGGAAGTGACGTATGACACATATATCTGGCTGCAGCTGTTTAAGGCCGCAGTTAGACCAGGCGCGGTTCGACGGGGGGGGGGGGGGGGGGGGGGGGGGGGGGGGGGGGGGGGGGGGGGGGGGGGGGGGGGGGGGGGGGGGGGGACTAGGGGGGGCTGTAGCCCCCCTAAAAATTTTGTCTAGCCCCCAAAATAAATTCCGTAAAAAAAAAATTGCATTAGCAAAAAGAAGGATTGTGATGTACATGCGAACGGTCTCCCCCTAAAGAAGAAATAGCCGTGACAAGGGTGCATTATTAATATAGTGTGAATGATTTTAGGATTTTATTGGCGCCCATTGAAAATATGGCCCCCCCCCCCCCCCCCCCCCCCCCCCCCCCCCCACCCCACCTATTGATTTTCGGAGGCCTAAGGGTCTGAAAAAATAACCGGTCTACATTTCAGCACGCCTCCCTGAAAAAAATTCTGGATCCACCGTGCTAGCCCCCCCCCCCCCCCCCAAAAAAAAAATATTGGTTCTGAGTTAGACAATGCGCGCGAATGCTATCCGGAAACTTCTAGAAATGCACCGGACGTGATTTCTTTTTCATTGCGGTCCATGTGAAGAATTTGAGCGTCGCATAATGCAATCGATAACCCTTCATGACTTCGAAACGGAGCCATTAGCAAGTGACGGAATTGCAAATTTACAACACAGATACATTTTACAGATTTTTCTACATTATCACGCTTTTCGATGAAAACAAAAGCATTTATGAATTGGAATAAAAGAGTTATAAATCAGTCTTAACGGCCGTTCGCGAGCCGTTTGAAACCTTGCAGGGTTCGTGGCCATGATAACTTGCAGGTCATGCCCGCGCCATAGGTCACGCAAAATCTATCCAATCAGAGCGTGAATTCATCAAAGTATCTCACTTCTCAGCGTCCTGTTTGCAGGGCGGGGGTACGAGCGAAGTAATCAACAAGATGGATAAGCGCAAAATCTGTGGAATACTTGTTCCAAAAGCCGAATTGTTAATCATAAAGAAGATGATATTTGGGGAGAAGCTTTTCCAATATTTTTGAGAAGCATCAAAGGAAAGAGAAAGGCCGATAATTGGAAAATTCACGGCTGTGACCGGTTTTAAAAACTGGAGTTGCCTTTGCTATTTCTAGATTAAAAGGAACGAAACCTGTAAGAACAATTTGATTAATGTGCGCAAGAGGAGGAGAGATGAAGGGAATGCAGGATTTAACTACTGATAGATAGTATCAAACCCACAACTGGGATTTTCAAGTTCATGAACAACTTGACAGATTTCAGAGGGGTCGGTGGGAGTAAGAAATAAAGAAGAGGTATTTCTATCCTGCAGATGATCTGTGAAGTGAGCATCGGTGGAAGGAATCCTGCTAGCCAGTGTTGATCCGATACAGCTGAGAGCAGGCTTAGGAGCTGGAAATTGTGATCGTATATCCAATTTTGAAGAGCCCAACATTGTACGGTACGTCTCGCCTACATGATTTATGCCCTTCTGACCAAATCTGCTATCATTTTTTGCTAGGATCACCGATTTTACAGAATTTTGCTAGAAATAGATTTTCTGCTGGATTAGTTTTTTTGTCCAAAACAAATTTGTCAGATCTAGCCGAAATCGGCTAAAACGGTCACCCTCAGCGTCACAGATGTGACAGAGCTATGATCACATGACCCAGCAGACTGGGTAAAACCATTATCAGTTCTACAGAGCAGTGATCGTGTGTGTGATGTCGCTTATAGCATGTTGAGTATACATGTACATGTGTATGTAGAGTGTGCGTATGATAAGCACGTAGTGTTTACATGTAGTTAAGCCACGCCCCTTATTATGTACGTGACCTGTGCCTTGCCTAACCCTTGACCGGCACCACACTGCCGAATTCTCAAGCAGGTACGTTGTCAACCTTTGAAGCTCGTTTTTGAATTGAAATATCATTTGTTCGCAAACTGCACGCTACCCAATATTGCATTAGGATGTGTCCGCTAGTGTTCATAGATAATACTGGAGGCATTAAACTAAAGTTTTGATAAGATATAAATGTAGGTTTTGGGCTCCAAAGTGTGAGCTCGTTGTGGAGAGTTTAGCGAACATTGTGCGTGTAGTATAGACATGCATGCATTTCATGCGAAGATTGTTTATTTAATTTGGGGAAATAGATCTACATGTACACGTTTATTGTAATTTTATACCTGTATAACACTGACATGTGCGTGCTTTTTGTAATTTGTATTCTTTGTATTTTGACCACACTGCCGAATTCTCACGCAGTGAGAATTGGCAGCTTTGCTGGCAGCTTGGCAAGAATAAATCGGCAGTCATTGAGGCAAGGAAGCTAACTATTCTCAAAGCGTCACCTGTTCACTAGGACCTGCGTGCCCGTGTTGCCCTCCCAATCACCCATTTAGCCAGACCCAGAGCTCTTCACCAGTCAGTTACAACCCACACTAGTACTACCTCATCACCCAACCCCACCCCGTCCCGGGGATCTCTACAATGTGCACTTTTGCTACGACCGGTGGCGTATATCTGTGCCAGGGACCTGGGGGGGGGGGGGGGCTTGCTGGACACCACACGACAGTAGGGGCGCTGTTAATGATACAGATGCACATCTTATGTATACTTACGCCCTTTAACTTTTTTTTTTTTAATTTTTTACTTTTTTACTTTTTTCTCGACTTTTCTAGTATTATTGAATAAATTTGGTTGTTGGCAAGTTCGAAAAATACCTCAACATCAGCCTTTTTTTGGGTTCCACACCAAGAACAAGTGGGAGGGGGGATGATCCAATAGCCCATAGCCCCATTAGTCCCCGGTCAAAATGTGTGGTGGTGGGGGGGGGGGTGGTTATATACCCCATGGCATCGGTTGAAGGTTGAGAAGGTTGTTTGTATATGATATACACGTGACGTTCCTGCAGTGGGCATTGTGACCAAAGTTAAAAATAAACAAGATTTTCTTCGCATGGCGCAGTGAGTCTAGTGAAAGAACATAAGGCATCCATGAATGCAATATTCATACACTATTTCCAATCACTACATTAACAGCAATGACGTTGAAAAAAATAAGAGCAAACGTGGGACATGCTCGAGCCATGGAACATACTTCAGCAACGTAAAACATGTCACGCAGACATGCGTTGGAAACAAGGGAATATATCGAAATCTTGTATTAATATTTATGTCTTTTTTAAGTTAATTCACAAAGCTTGCTCCCTTTCTTTGTAGGCCCATATGTATGGTCCGTTTTCATAATTTATTTCGATGTCTAAATGCTTGTTTTTAGCAATCAGGCGAATAAGCACGATTTTTCGTAACATTATGCTGGGTCACACATTCCCGATTTTTAAGCCGAATCACCAAGAATAACAATTCTTGAGTAAATCGGGGAATGGTTCTTGGCTGCCTCGGGATGATTCTGTTATCGGAAAGCGCCCCGACAATTTTGGTCATGTTCAAAATTGTCGGGGTGATTCGGGAACCAATTTCAATTCTTAGTTTATTTTGTTGTATTCGTAAATCTGTTTATTCTTAAAGCATTCTGGACATTCTTACAGCATTCTTACAAGATTCGTTGAGTTATTTTTGGTGTTATAATAGCCCAGAATGATGCCGAATCAATGCGAATGTATCAAAAAATGTACGAATATTATACGAGTAACTTACGAATACACTAAATCGGCATAGTTCTGGGTCATTCTGGATTAGGGGTTGCATAAAATTTCCATTCTCAGATATATCAGACGCTCGAAGTATGGCCCACAAGTCCGCCTTTATTAGTTGCCACATGGTCAAGCCACATTTAAAACAAGACACAAGCCCTTATTTTCTTTGCTGTATTGCACGCACTTTTCATCCCCACAAGTGTCTGCTCTGTTTTTTGGTTTATAAATCATGTCTGTATATTTTAGGAGTGATTTGCCAAATGTGCTGTGTGGGTTATCCCCTGTTTTTTTTTCCATTTCTCCCTTTTATGTACCTTGTTTTCCCTCGTATTCTCCTAAAAGCTTATCCAATCGTAATTTTTTTCTTTGGCAAAGATTTATTATCCCCTTGTTAAATTCTTATTGATTTTTTTTATTCGTTCTTTGATCACGTTTGAAATTTTTCGAATTATTTGAGGAAACTGGTTTTTTTTTGCATTTATTTAACGAAAACATTTTTGTTTCAAAAGTTTATCACCAAGGGCGTGGTCGCCTGTGGCTCAGCCTGCGTAAAGGAGCCCGGATGTCGCTCCTTCAACAAACTGATAAAGGGAATACGATATATCAGCCGAAATCTAGTCATGAACATTCGAACAATTTCGGAAAGCAGTCTACAAACTTGATCTTAACACTTACATTTTTTTCGCGAATTTTGTGACGATTAATTCACTTTCCAGCTATTAGGAAAAAAGGGGACCGAGACTTGTTCAAGTACGCAATGTAAGCCATATACAAATTGAAACGGAAAACAAATGTATTTAAATGACCTTAATCTGACTCTTTATCTCAAATAGAAAAATGCAGTGTTTTTAATTATTCGTTTTTATGTCATTCAACACCGAATATCGATTCTGTTTCATAATATATGGCAACCATGTAATCTTAATTTTTAAACATTAATTCACTTTACGTTCTCTTAATTTTGTAAATATAAATGACTGTGAATGAAGTATTCTTTTTTTACTAATCTGCTTGTAAATTTTTCAAGAATTTTTATTGGTTGTTTTTTGTTAAACAAGTGTTAAAATAGCCGGTAAAACCTATACTAAGCAGACACTACATGTACTTTGCATTACACTGGATGACTGTACTTGTACACAATTAGCGCGTTATTTTGGGAAACCATGGGAAACTTAAAAATATGTGTCACCAATTCCAAATTTTTGGATTTTACTTCACTGCCCCCATCAAAATCAGTCAAAACTATAACCTTGTGGTGTTCAGAATATCGGCACAACCTTTCCATTTAAGACTTTGTAATCAGGAAATATTCATGCAGTGGGGGAAGAAGTAAGGGCATGTATAGGGCTTCCTTGTTAGATCATTCTTGTCACTGTACACCGTGGAATTAAAAGGAAAACACACACAAGGTAAACTATATACACTGGCATTTACTTAAAATACACAATTGATGATTACAAAATAAGTTTAAAAACATTGATTAGTTTAGTCAACAACTAAAGAACAAGTGACTCAAGACTCGGACTCGGACTCCATGCTTGTGACTCGAGACTCGGACTCGAATTCGAGGCTTGTGGCTCGTGACTCGGACTCGGATTCGAGGCTTGTGGCTCGAGACTCGGACTCGAATTCGAGGCTTGTGACTCGGGACTCGGACTCGAATTCGAGGCTTGTGACTCGGGACTCGGACTTAGACTCAACGTTGGTGACTTGACTACCACACTTGTTTCAACACGTTTAAACTGAATAGATATATAAGTCGACAAGTGAAGTTTAGAAACAGCTGTTATACTGTTTTAATACCTTTAAAATGTTCACATTTTTCAAATGGGTATATATAGTGTATTGGAAATAAAATTTGGATATTTTTAATTCTTTGTTTTTTCCCCTACAATATTAATACATTATTCTACTTTTTAAGAATCCATCTTACAATCTCTTCATGGAATAGGTAGGGGTAAATAGAAGGAAAAACTTTCATACATACCTCCAGATGCTTGTGTGTGGCCTGTTCTGCACATGTAGATGGCCTGCTAAGACCTGCTTCATCCTGACAGTCCATGCTGTGTTGTTTCGTTGTCCAGATTTGAGAAAGATGATGCTTTTCGCATCAGCTGAGAAACAATGAATCAACAATCACAATAATAGTTGGATGATCCTAGCATTATTTGTGTGTCCTGCAGGCAAAGAGTTTCCCACCGTTTCAATGTTCGTCTCGAATTTAGACCACGATACAGTGCAGAAAAATCTGCCTAGGTGAGGCAAATCTCACTCATTCCTCATCTAATACAATATCTGAGGACTAATGAGGAATAATGTGAGATCGTAACTTAACATGTTCAGTTTGAAGGCTCAATTCAAATATCGAAATGGAGTAGCGCGTGTCAAAACGAAGACAGAATGCATAGACAGACTTGTGGTTTCCTTTGACACACTTTGTTTATGCATTGACTAGACAGGTCTTGAGTCAGTTATTTGTTTTGTCTCGCATGTTCTCATTCTATTCAAGGTTGCATTTTGAGATTTACCCTTTTAGGTAGCCCCATGTGTCTCAAATGCTGGACTTCCTCCGCATTATGTGCCACACGTAGCAATGAGTGCTAAAATTCCTGAAAAAAGTTATGTTCTCTGAGTTTGAACTATATGAAAGCTATATACTTACCTGATTAAAAATCCTGCAGTCATTTCGGAATTATTTTTTTCAGCAAAATGTTTAACTCAAAATTAATGTTTCTCCGGGTTGTGCTGTAAAATAAATATATTCATGAGCTCGTTCATAAAAACAAGTCGCTGAGAACAGCCTTCCAAAAAACTGCTCATAAATGCACCAAATAGGTAGTGAAGCCGAAAGATTTGTCCCAAAGTAAGTTAAAAAACATATATCCTTAGCATACATCGAATATTTTAAATGCAATGTCGTATTTTCGCGAAATACCAAAAAAGAAGACCTTTTTCACTGAACGAAAGCCAGCAACCAGCGAAAAAAAGGTCCGAAAGAAAGCATTTTTTTCTGCAATCAAGTCAATTAAGCTAGTATTAAGACTGCCATGAAAACATCAATTATTAGACTTTAAATGTTGTATTAACGGTGATTTCAAAAGAGCAAACCCGGTAAACTCGCCTTCAAAGGGGGGGATTTCCTGGTGGGTTTGCTGAACCTGGAGTGTGGTTTTCGCACTCAACTACACAATACAACCAGTAATTGGGGTTCGCAATTCAAACAACCTGACGCCGACGCGTGATTGGCCCGTGCCACATGCCCAGGGCCGGGACGGGGACATGTACGCATAGTGCCTAGCTGCATGCTACCGGTATATGGATTTGTGCACACGTGGCGCCATTTGTTTGCATTCAGTGTCTGTATTTAATAGCACATACGTGGCTCCAACAGGGTTTGCTCTCAAAAGTCTCCCACACTGGTGTTCTCCTTTATTTAGTCTTTTCAATGGTAATTTACTTGATTCAGAATTAACTTCCCAAGATGACGAAAAATCCCACGAAACGTGACCATTTTTTTTGGTTCCGATTGAGACACTTATAAACGTCGCAATGAAAGGTAATTTTTCGGAGGTTTTTTCTCATCAAGTGTCTGTCCGAAAAGTTCACAGTCCTATCTGATAAAAAAATATATAGTCCTTTTTCTGTCGATTTATTGTTATATCTCGAATATCAAAAACTTATTTGTAATTTAAAAAGTTGATTTGAAAAGACGTCCTCCGTTTTTAGCTGTTTTTACGCAAAACAAGACTGAATACATTCGGTCCCAAAAGGGCGTTTTTACGAGCTAAAACACGGACATGCGCACAAACCTAATATCGCCCTGAAAACAGCGGTGAGCTAATAGTGATACTGTGTCATACGTACATTCCTGCTGCAAAAAAATCCTGAACTTATACACTGTAGTTACTCACCTATACTTTAGTTTACCGGAAAATCACTGATCCTGTATTATGAGAACAAGGTGGGAAAACCTTGCATTGGGTGCAACAGGAAAATAGTCCTCTGTAAAGTGCGAATGTATTCATATTTTGGGTTTAGGCAAGATCGGTTGTATCCCACTGAATAGACAGCCATTAGTGAACTGCGTGACAGCGCCAGTATCACAACTCGAGCGATACACTTATGATAAATTATTCTTACGTCACCACAAGTCAGGTATGTCACAGTAGTCAATATTGTGCAGTTACAAGCGGAGAGAGGGGAATGGGGGGGGGGGGGGGGGGTTCGCATCGAAATCGGTCATGAACAGACTTTCGCCCGGAATAAGCCTAACCATCAATAATGTTGTGTTTAAAGCAGGCCAGCTCTGACGTACGTGTACGGCCACCCCATCTCGAACTACATGTAACTAGTGTATAAACAATCACATTCGGTTGCTTGGGCCACGGGCTCCGGTCTGTCAGTATATAGTTGGTGCACGGATGATGGTCCGTGGTTGGTGCATGGTTGGTGTAAGTTTGTCTAGGTTAGCATGCCTAGAGTTAGCATGCCTAGTGCTCGGCGGGTACTATATAGTCGTTTTCCCTAACGTGGCGCACTTCGAAGCTTACCCAACTTTCCTCGTGTAGAGTTGCCAAAGCTCTTTGTTGATAAACCTCAAATTCATGCAGTGAAATACTGGTACTTTTTCCTTTTTAATGCTTGCTATTTAACCTCTGTGAACAATTTCGGTTTCATAAAATTTAATCCGAAATGCAAGAACGGTCGCGTCCGGAAATTGGGCACAAATTGGTGGAGTGTTCCCTAACGTGGCGCACTTGAATAAATCTCAGAAAATTCCAAATTAACATTTAAGAATTTCTGTAAAATTGATAAATTCTGATGAATCATTATTATCTTTACTTACAAACCCAGCCAGATGTTTGTCAGAAAATTATTTTCTTATTTTTGGGGGCATTTTCAAAGGGTTCACTTTGCACTTGAAAAATAAAATCGGAAAATCACGCTAAAATATTTTTTTCTTTTAACTTTGTAACGGGTAAATAAACTCGCGATTTATGAACGGGAGTGTTTAGAACTTGATGAAATTTCACTTTCTGTGAAATTTCAGTTAAAACTTTTGCTCTAGCTAGGCGCTACAGGCGAAAAATAAAAGTGCACCACGTTAGGGGCCGCGCCACGTTAGGGTACTTCAACAATATATTATCATTTTCTGTCCGAGCTGCAATATGGCGTTGCGTTCTTCATAACTTTTGTCCTACAGCGACCAACATCGCCGACCATCATGATATAACCAGTTGAAATAAAGGTGAGATTTGTTTTATATTGAGATATTATCGTATATAGGAACACTGCACATTTTTATGTTATATTACTTTCATGTCGGACGAAATTGATGGATAATTTTAGACCTTAGTCCAACCAGATGGATATCGCTATACATACCTGCATTTGATTTGCATGATGTATCAATTCATGTTAAAGTACAGATCGTATTGCAAAAGGGGCCAATACCTTTGCAACTTTCTAAAAGTGTTGGAATCTGTAACATTTTGGAAAGTGTTGAATCAACTTTTAAAGTGTGGTCACTGACCGAACACATAGCAAGTGTCGAGCTTATCATTTGTAAAGTTGGATTTAACACTTCAGTTTTTAGATTGTACTAACACATTGTGGTAAAAGTTTGTTTCTGTGCAAAACCCCCTACACCGGGGGTTTTAAATGAAAATATCAGACGGTTATTTATTACTCCCTTTCAATCATCACGCTCTATAACTTCGGCAGCGACCGCAAGCCCCATTTAAAAAAAATAAGTTCAGACAGGATCAAGGTACCAACGTTTACGACTAAGTGACACTATAGATACACCCGGCACGTACATGTAGTTGTACTGCCGAACCCATGCACATGTACATGTACATTGTACATAATTCATAAGTTCGATGACGCTATAATCACCGCATAAATTACCATAAGTGTATCACTCGAGTTGTGATACTGGCGCTACCGTCACGCAGACAGTGGCGTGATCAAGCTATGATCACATGACCAAGCAGACTGGACAAAACCATTATTACTGAGGTGTTTTGGATGTGAAGTACATAAATTGTGTATCAACTTCAGTAATTCTGCAGGGCAGTGATCATTTGAAGCCTCTTATAGCATGTCAATTATATATGTAGCTTTAATATTTAGATGCACTTTTGCTAAAACCAAAATAACCTACGATGATTGTTATTCATGCATCTTTTTCAAAATATTACCTAGAACTACGTACTTTTTTGCTACGTAATTTTGTCTGGGATTGTTGAGCTGTGTTGCGTTTCGTATAGAAATGATTACAAAGGAAAAGGATGTTTGTATAGCAAGTGCACGTGATGTTCCTGCAGTGGGCGTAGTGACCAAAGTTAAACATAAACACGTTAATAAATCACAGGTTCACATTGTGCATATTCAATCTTTTAAACTGACTAAAAAGGACCAATGACCACGAATTACTTGACCCGAATTATTTAGTTCTATGTGGATATCATTATTTTTTTAAGTGAGATTCCCTCCAGTACCCATAGGCCTTTCAAAAATAGAGGCACATAGACCGCCATAGGCAGCAATGACAATTCGGCCCAGGTCCAAACAAGGGGGGACTAATCATGGTGATCAAGACAAATATCAACTCACAGCCTGTTTTACCCTCTTTTACTATTCGTTGGGGGATTTTGGGCGATTATCACAGATGTCTTTATGGTGAGTTTTCCGTTCAAAAATGATCACCTCCCAAAGCAGTCCCGAAGCCCATCGTTTGCTGAAGAATATGATTCCTCCACTCCATTGCAATAATTTTCATCCCAAATGTCACTGATATACAAGTTCAGAGCAATACGACCCTTCATTTCTATCTACCCTCATCTACAGGGGTCACAAAAGAGGACTCGGTTTACACGTGAATGCAAAGTAAGTAACGTTATTTTACATGTAGCTGACATTAAAGAAATACTTCCTTTTGTATTTTTTTTCATTTTGCAGATTAATTTAAGTCTTAATATTGTAGTGGAAGTAGTGAATTTGTAAATTCGTGACAGCATCGGCCAAGTGTAGGCAAGAAATACGGCAGGATGGGGTAGCGAAGTGACGGCATGACGTGACAGCCGCCAGCCGGACGGCATGATGCAACGCCCGCCTTTCGAAATCTCTGGCCTTCCAAGGTTTTATGGTTCGCTCTTAACAAAGTGCTTTCATCGTTTCAAAATGACTATGCTACCTCCGCATGCAACATTTAAACAAAAAAAGCCAACACTTTCTTTAAAATGTCCCGTAGTCTATTGAATCGCCGTGGGCCCACTCTATAGTGTACCCTACTATGTATTCTAAGGATCTATTCCCATTTCCAATATTAAAAAAATAATGTGTTGGAGATGTGTCCACAGCTGGTATATCTTACCCCCTGCAGCCCACTTAACCTAAATTTCAAAATTCCCAAGCTGAACAAAGGAAAATTGGAATGCGAAAAATTTTGAAAGTTTATTTTTTGTGTATTGTAATCCACAAAATTAGATTGCCTGATGTTTCAATCTCAACATAATATTTTTCAAAGGCAAAAATTAAAAACCTATTTGTTTTCCTTATCCGTGCAGGGCAGAATATATCCGCAGTCACCTGACTTGTCACCTGACCAAACACTTCTTTGTTTCCATCATACATCAATGTGGGTTATTTGAGTCGCTGACAAGATATAAAGAAACCATAACATTTTGACTACTTTATATTCCTAAACTTCAACAACTAATAGATTTGAGGCAACAGAGTAAATCCATGGTTGTATAAAACTTAAAATCTAATCAATTCCATATGATGGTAGTGATATTTCACGAAGTTAAATTTTCAGAAATGTGGTTTTGACTATTTGTCCAACAAAAAGTCAGGCACTTTTTTTTTTGTTGCTTCTATAAAGTAAAATCATTTTTATAACAACATGGGCAGTCATAATTACATTAATACTGAAATGACTACAATTTATAAAACGGCAAAATATGACCTTAAAAACGTAACAATCATTAAGCAAATTGATTTCAAATAAAGAAACAAGAAACACACGAAATCAAATCGAGATAAGATAAAAGTTGTGTTTGAACCGATCTTAAAACACATTTCGTCACTATATATCGAATAAATTAAAGAGGCATTTTTCCCGGTTATATCAAGTTTAACCTCGCAAAAAGAAGATTGTTTTCCTCATACTTGTATCCACTTTCGAATGAGACATCGACCGAAAAAAATGCACTGACGTTCAGTTATTAGATTATGTCTTAACAAAAGTAATATTATTTGCAGCTCGACAATTATTCAGCAGTTTAAAGTTTAACAAATACAACCAATAAAAACTCTTGAGAAATTTCGTGCGAATTTACAAGCAGATTAGGATAAAAAGTACACTTCATTCACAGTCATTTATATTTGCGAAATTAAGAGAACGTAAAGTGAATTGATGTTTTAAAAATTGAGATTACATGGTTTCCATATCTGATGAAACAGTATTGATATTCGGTGTCGAATGACAAAAACTCATAATATAAAACACCGCATTTCTGTTTGAGATACAGAGTCAGACCATAGTCATTTAAATACATTTGTTTTCCATTTCAATTCAATTTTTACCTCATTCGTAAATGGTTTACATTGCGTATTTGAACAAATTTCTGTCGCCCCATTTTTCCTATAATAGCTGGAAAGCGAATTAATTGTCACAAAATTCTCGAATAAATGTATGAGTGTTAAGATCAAGTTTGCAGACTACGTTTCAAAAATTGTTCGAATGTTCATGACTAGATTTCGGTTGATATATCGTATTCCCTTTGTCAGTTATTCGATGTTGAAGGAGCGACATCCGGGCTCCTTTACGCAGGCTGAGCCACAGGTGACATTTGGTGATAAACTCCCGGATGTTGTGATCGAGGAGGCAGGTTGGGTTGAGACTGCTGCCGTGAGTGTCAGTAGAGAGGCATTAGTGACGGATATGGGTCAGGCCGTGAATGCAGGCAGCTTGACGAGCACAAAACGCCCTGCTTGACAAATCACAAGATACGTCATCCATTCCACCCTGGCCTATTTGAGCGCAATCTTGTTGGCTTTCCGAATTATTTGGTTCTCCTTGATGCCAAGCCAAGAAGGGCTCGCTTCCTTCCTGACCATCACAATCCCAAGATCCTTCGACGACTTTGTCATCGCAAGCAATCCAGGCATAGAACTTTAAGTCCACATTTCGCGCCAATTCCACCATCAAGGTCATTTCCTCCTGCGAGCGAGGAGCGGCCATCTTACCTCCCATGGCTTGGCAATCCGATTGGCTGTCGTCCCAAGTAGCCGGTGTTTCGGAGAGTAGATAACACGCTTTCCCCCACAATTGCCACTTTGGCGGGCAAGAGCATTCAACAATGAGCCGAGAGTGGCATTTGACAGAGAGCCGAGATGGGCCGAGCCCTGAGCCAAATACAGCCTTGATAGATGAAATGACAGCAACGATGACGATAAATTCGGACCAAAACGCCATGATGAACGGAGAAGTAAAGATGTCGCTCAGGACTATTCAAAGTATCTGTAGCTCTGAAACCAGGACTGTGCATGATACAGAGTGAATCAGCGGCGAAGCAATACGAAACGATTTTTGTTAATGGTAAACAACTTCATACAGTCGGTTACCATAGAGACACTGATTAATTGTCTTTCAGGGGAAGCGCAGAAAACTCAATATTCAACTCGGACACCATTCAACTTTATCAGAGCACAACAAATGTACTTCCGCTGAAAACTGATGAAGCTCAAGGGTAGCTAATGAAGCGTGTGAACGACTCGCTGTGCGACACCTGCAAATTAATTTCACTGGAGACTGTGATGCATTTTTAAGGAAATTGTCGTGCACAAATTATTTGAATTGAATTGAATTGGAATTGGAATATGTTAAACAACCATAAAATATTAATTCAAACTATAATATGAAAAAGGTGTTCAGATAAACTCTGTGAGTGTTAACATCGGAGGAAAATGATTGACAAGTAACGTTTGTCATAAATAACCAATACATGTAAAATGCACTACACCGATCTGACAACTACGTATTATTTTTCTGCACCGAATACATATTTTTAAAGGCAAACAATATATGCACATAGAGACCCTATTCGATGAAGGAACGTCTGAGGTTGTTCTTTGTTCTTATAATTGAGTAACAATGAAAGCACAAACGTTTGACTAATCCAAGCGATACAAACCTCTACTACACCTCAATGATCAGGTCTACACAAACTCTTCCACAGAATGTGTCGGTAATTTCAAGCAAATTTACAAGCAGACTCGTGGGGAAATTTTAACAGTCACACCCACAACAATTAACAATAACCATTTACGAAATTAAGAATATTCAAATATAAGCTTGTTTGTAATGTTCAAAAATGCGGTTTACACAAGTTATTTACAGCTATTCGGTTTTAATTTGTCTGTCTTAACATTTCAATCAGTTATATTTCGCCTTTTAGATCAAATTTCTTTCTGTTTTGTTATGAGGACGAGTTTTGCTTACCTTGTTTTTTTTAATAAAAATATCGAGCGCCGTATTTTTTGTCTAAAAAGCGGAAACAACGAATATATTGTCACTAAAAGTGACATGTGTGTGTTCAGGTAGTTCAGGTTTGTAGAAACCATCCTACTTGGTTCCAGTGTTCATGACTAGCTGATACACTATTCAGAGTAGAGACAGAAATAATCAGTGTTTTGAAACTCGTCCTTAGGCGGACATGTCCTTATAGGTGACCACGCCCTCTGTGATAAACTCCCGGATGTTGTGGTCGAGGAGGCAGGTTGAGTTGAGAATGCGGTCGTGGGTGTCGGTAGAGAGGCGGAGTTAGTGACGGAGTTGGATTAGGTCGTGGGTGCAGGCTGCTCGACGAACACAAAAGGCCCTGTGTGACTGACTGCATTGACTGTCATCCATTCTGTCATGGTGATATGAGACCATCCGAGCACAATCTTGATTGCCGGAATTATTTGGTTCTCAATCATTCCATTCCAAAAAGGGCTCGCTTCCTTCCTGACCATCACACTCCCAAGTTCCTTCAACTTCGGTGTCATTGCAAGCAATCCAGACAGAGCATTTACTGCCCATCTTTTGCTAATTCCGCCATGGAATGCATTTCCTCAAACGAGCGAGGAACGGCCATCTTGCCTCCCATGTTTTGGCAAAATTAAGCTGTCTTGTCGTCACCCAAGTATGCGTACGGTTGAAGGGGTGAGGCGATAACACCCGTTCCCCCACAATTGCCACTCTGGCCGGCAAGAGTATTGGGCAGTGAGTCGAGAGTGGCAGGAACCTGACCTAAATTGAGCATTGATCGCTGAAGTGATTGCTACAATGCTAAAACCTTTGAATAAGTACATGATGATTCGTTAGTCCTTCGGTAGCAAGAGTTTGAAGATGATCAGATGTGTTCGCTATACGTGTACGCCATTCTAGTGTCTTGGCATTGAAGTCGAATGGATTAACGAAAACGGGTTGTCAATGTCTGACACAGAATTTTGATACTATTTTGACTTGTTTAACCATTTTAGGCACGCCCTAAAAATGGGGCTTTGCAAAGGTAGAAAGCACAGCCGCAAAACAAAGATACAATTAGCTTCAAAACTTATTTTTAATTAACTACCACAACATATCTTCACAATCCTAACTATTCCCAATTAAAATTGAAACCTACTTGGATCCAAAATTAGCTGCTAAAACCATTTAATTAAAATGATTAAATGGTTCATAGACATCGGTAGTTAAATGACCGGCTGTTGGCTATTTTTTATATATATATATTTTGTTGAAAGTAACGTCATTCATAACCAAAAAATTGCTTGACTGTCCTCCTAAGTGTGAAATTCAACGTACGTTTACTAGCAAAAGTTTCACACTTTTTTTCAATTGAAACAGACATGTAACCAAATTAAGTGATTAAACAGTTTCAAATAATTAAATGTTCAATAAAATTCCGGCTGTTGGCTGATCTTTGGACACATTTCGTTACAATATTATTCATAAATTACCACCAAAATCTTGTTTTAAAATTAATTTCACGTAACATCACATCGATCTGACAACTAAGTATTAGTTTTGATATTTTGCTGTTAAGACTGAATCTATCATTTGATTTTTTAACACATACAAACCAATACAAACTTTTGAGTTATGTCATGTGAATTTGCAAGCAGACGTGGAAATACAAGAACTATTCATTCACAGTCACATCTACGAAAACATAAGAATTTAAGAATATTTAAAACTGAATTGTTTGTATAGTTGTAATTACGCGGTTTGACTAACGCAGAAACTTATAAATTAAAGTGCATTTCTATTTGGATAAAACGAGTCAGACAAAAGCAATTCAAATATAATTGTGTTTTAAAATTCAAATCAAATCTTATCTGCTATAGAAACGATTATTGATAACCTTTTTTGCTTTCTCGAACAAAAGTTCGGTCGCCCGTTTTCTTATTTTCCGGAAAAGCGAATTAATTGCATCGTCACCAACTTCCCGTATACAATTCTTGTACCGGTAAGTAAATGTAAGTGTTAAACTAAATCATGTTGGTAGACTACCTTTCCAAGACACTTCAATGTCCATGACTAGCCGGTGCCCTCTGTTGATATGTGTCCTGGATTCAGCTGATTCCCTTCTGCAGATATGTTATTGTTGAAAGAGCGACATCTGGGCTCCTTGTCGGTTGAGCCACGGACGGCCACGCTCTCGGTGATGAACCCCCGGATGTTGCGGTCGCGGAGGCAGGTTGGGTTGAGACTGCGGCCGTGTGTGTCGGTAGAGAGGCATCAGTGACGAAGTTTGGTTTAATAGGCCGTGAGTACAGGCAGCTCGACGAACACAAAACGCCAAGTGAGAGCGATAACAGTATTCGTCATCCATTTTGCCGTTTTTTGTCGACTTTATTGCCACACAATCTTGATTGAATAAATCATTTGGTTGCCCATCATCCCAAAGTAAGAAGGGCTTGCGACCTTCCTGACCGTCACACTCCCAAGTTCCTTCAATTTCTTTGTCATTGCAGGCGATCCAGGCAGAGTATGCACTGTCCACCTTTTGCGCCAATTCCACCATAAAGTTCATTTCCTCCAGCGAGCGAGGAGCAGCCATCTTGCTTCCCATGTCTTGGCAAGCTGTCTTGGCGTCATCCCTAGTATGCGGTAAAGGAGTGATGCGATAACACTCGTTCCCCCACAGTTGCCACTCTGGCGGGCAAGAACATTCCACAATGAGCCGAGAGAGGCATTTGACAGAGAGCCGAGAAGGACAGAACCCTGAGCCAAGTACAGTTTTGATAGATGAAATGATAGCAACGATGACGATAAATTCGGACCAAAACGCCATGATGAACTGAAGATGTTGCTAAGGACTATTCCAAATATCTGTATCTCTGAAACCAGGACGAGGCTTGATACAGAGCGAATCAGTGGCTGGAATGACGACTCCCAGCTGCGGCAAAGCAATAAGAGCGATGGTTTGACAGGTAAACAAGTCGGTTACCATAGATACAGTGCTCTGGTGTTGTGACGGGGGAGGCGTAGAGAACGCAATACTCAACTCAGAACCCATTCAGATCTACCAGAGCACAACAAATGTGCTTACGCTGAAACTGATGAAGCTCAATGGTAACTATTGCAGCGTGTGAAGGACGCGCTGTACGACACCTGAAAATTAATTTCACTGGGGACTGTGTTGAACTTGCAGGGAAATACAATTTTGTCGTGCACAAAATTGTCTTCAAAGAAATGTTTCCAAGAAGCAGTGCTAGCGTTGTGATAAACCCTCAAAGAATGTACAAACTATTTAAAATGGTTTATTAACAGTCTTTTGTCTACACGTGATTATGTTTTGATTCATTTTAACAATTGCTTTAAAGCTATCCACAAATACTTATCTCAATGGGACCGCTTTGGTTTCATTTTGGGAACTCTGCGAATCTAAACCCGTTCCTTGTTTTGTTTCCAGAATACATTCCATATCGCGAATATGATCTGTCTTCAAATAATAAAAGCGAATGCAACCTTTAAAAAACGTGAATCAAAGTTAACAATAAAAGCAAACTGCATCACTGATTAAAATTGAAACAATTAAACCAGAAACTCACGGTAACAGATCAAGAGCAATTTATTGAGGTTTCCAGGAGGTTTTCGCCCCTCCCCGAATTGGAGTCCAGAGCGGAATTTCATTCAGAACGCCTGCATAAGTCTAAAGCTTATCAATTTACTCAAGGTTGACATCCCCGAATTTTGTAGTCACCATTGAAATCATTGAATTTGATAAAAGTCATGTCGGACAACATTTTTAATGTCAATCACTACACCGATTTATCACGGGCTCGTGTTGAACCTCACTGTACATTTTTGTACAACAGACCTTGTTTTTCATGTATTATAAATCCGTGTAAATTAGTGGAGTTCGGGAAACATGCAAGTTGTTTGGCAAATTAACGGGGACGGAGAATTATGATGGAATGTTTTGCTTGGCACGCAATTAACCGTAAGGCGGCTTTTGGGTTTCGCGGGGATCGCCACGACCGGAAACCAATTGGAATAGTGATGATATATTTTGTTATTTCGCGGGGATCGCAACGACCGGAAATACACTTGTACTTGTACAGTTAATGTGATTGTTTCGCGGAGATCGCTACGACCGGAAACAAATGGGATTATTGGTTTATACGTTATTATTTCGCGGGAATCGCAACGACCGGAAATATACTTGTACAGTTATGTTATTGCTTTGTTGCTGTTTCGCGGGGATCGCTACGACCGGAAAAAATTGGAATACTGGATATACGTTATTATTTCGCGGGGATCGCAACGACCGGAAATAATACTTGTACAGTTATTGTTTAGCTCTGTTATTGGGTTCCACGGGGATCGCTACGACCGGGAACATGACATTGGGCTATAGATTTTCGCGGGGATCGCCACGACCGGAAAATCATTGTTAATATTTGCGTTAATGTTTAACAATTCCTATGATCGCAAACAATTGGAGACAATTTGATGTTTTACTTAACAAAATGAACAAGTTTTCGCGGATTGCAGCGACCGGAAAACTTTTGCTGATAATCGATCTGGCAATAAACTGCTCTGGCCGAACGTAAACAAAGTTCTGTTACTTGTCGAAGCCTGATTTCTTTACCAGCTGTTTTGTCGCATGGGGTAATAAAAAGGGGATGTGGTGATAACATCGTTACTATTATGCCTAATAAAAACCATAAAAAAAATCATGGCATGCATGCACTAAATACAAGATGTGAAAAGAAGGGCGCTTTAACGGTTCGGGTTTTTGTTTGAGGTGGCACCGTGTACATTCGTGACATCTGAAGACGAAACGAGGAACGACTTTCCACACAGATCCAATCGTATTGGACAGGTGTTCTTTCATATTCTATCAACAACTAAAGCGATACAATAAGTATCATTTCATAATTCGATTGGTAATGAGTTTGGATATCCCCATTATTACATCTCGAGGGAGAATGTATTGACTACAAACCCTGTGCAAGTTGGGATTCTCCCTACTAGGTGATGTTCCAACATATTAAAGAAACGTTGTCTCTATTATTTCCAGCACAGGCGTCTCCAGACCAATTAGAATGAGGGCTGGCAGGGCGTGTGATGGAAGGAAGCCTGGAATTTGTCCCAGTCATCTTTGTTGTTTAAAGTTTAGCTGCCAGCTGTTATCAACTGATTAATTATTTTTGATTTAGTGGAGCGATGGCCCTTCAATCTGGCCCTTTTAAACTTATGGGTTCATGTTTACTTTGGGTTGTTGACATGGAATTATTGATCTACATCATATTTTCATCTATGGTCACCGTGACAGTTATTATGCTGTCTTTTTCTCTGTGTTTTGTTTATAAGTTTCCTTTTCTTGTAAAAAAAAATGAATGAAATTACAGTTTTTAAATAGCATATTAGTGCTTTTTGGACTGAGCTACAAGTGAGCGCCTCTTGTCACCGTATCAAATAAACACACAATGCTACAATAAAACACATTGAAATGAAATTCTTTTCTTTAATTTCAATCCTTTTATTTCGGTTGGGAATATTTTGGCAAATTATTAGAAAAGCAAATGTTTATAGAAGAATATAATTTTTTTGTCCAAAATATACACATTATCATTAGCTAGAGTTGTAGCGAAAAAAGATCAACGTTGGAAGTTGAACAAGGTTACACAGAAAAATATAAACCATTTATATTCTTTAGGCACACTTGCATATCTACAGTTTCAATACAGTTTAGTACAATCCATGTGGATGCATCATTTACTCTAAAAAGGAACTTTGCTACAAAATTGAATGATTTCTGGCATATCGGTTTATGAACTGTAACAGAAATTCATGAACGGGTTGATTACATCAAAGATGAATAATCTTCAGATAAATTGTCTGCTTCCAAGATGGTTCACAGGAACCATCTTGAATCAGTAACTACATGTATAGACCAAAATATATATGTTTACAAATTGGATGTGCAGTCGCGTGATACTTTCACGTTCTTTTGTGCACTGCACAAGCATCCCTTGAGATATGATCAGTGTTGCAAAAAGACACTTGGTGTTTCAACAAATCAAACAAGAAAGCTTTCTAAATTCTAAATATTTCCAAATATATATTATAACAAATAACAATCTGTGTTGGTCCTTTTCATTAATCTACAACCACATTTATTGAATCTCATTCTATCTTTGACGCAAAACTTTATAATCCTTCAATGAAAGAGACCTCAATTAATACATTCGTGTGATAACATCACATAATGTTCATTACCCATCTTCAAGCTTTCAACATCGTCCTTATCAATCCCCATGTAAGCAATTATCATTGCCCATTGATTTCAAATTATTAATCATTCTCTAATTCTGACTCTTGTTTGTTCCACGTTTCCCCATTCTCCACTCTACAATTGATACATAAAGTTTGAACACTTTTTGTGCCGACTTCCTCAAAACTTTGGTCAAAGACATGTTTAGATTTTTTGCAAAGTATGAAAGTCTGTTAGTATTATCAACAATATAAAAACAAGCACACTTATATTTTAAAGTGTGCTCCTCTGAAACTGTTGATCAAACAATCGGGTATTTAGCCGGTCATTGGACTTCAACCCGATAAGTAAATATTTACTTTTACAATGTGTACTTGATGGTACTAACCAGCATTCGTCATCAACTGACATCTGAGAAAAAAATCCAATGAAAAGAAGTGGTTATAATTCAGTTTAAAAAAAAATTGTTCAAACATTTAACACAGTTTTGTTTACAGTATCTTGATATGTCAACATTGTGGGGGAAAAATCACTAGTTTATTTCTCATCAAAGTTTCAATCTCGTTGTGCCCTATTCAGTGTAGACCATGTGGAAGTTCATTTAAAAATAGAAACATTGTTGAGATTTATGATTCACGTTATGATTGCCAACAATTACAAATGTGTCAGTATAATAAAAACTGGTTCAAGGCAAAATGGTGATCTTCATTACAAATATAATTCTTACTCATTACAAAAAAAAGAACTAAATGAAGACGACGACGTAGAAAACAACATTATAGTGATTTCAACAAACACATTCTAATCTAAGCTTTGTTTAAATTTGTGATACACGGTAAATAACTGCTCAACCGTGACAATATAATGCCAAACCTTAACACAGACAACTTGCCCAGTTGTTTCACGATTTTGTTTCTACAATGCTTTTAACATTAATTTTCTGTTCAAGATGCACAAATGTCCAAGCAAATGTTATATATACAAACATACAGTTAGGAAAACGTTATACGTAAAGAAAGAACACAAAACCTCAAATTTGACACGATTCTGCTTTCAAAACATACAGGTGTTTTCAAGATCATAATAGTTATTGGTATAAAAAAATAAGATTTTAGACTGCATTTCTGGGATTAGTTTGTTGAAATCAATTAATAAAAACAAACCCCTTACTGAGCCAGATGTAGAGTTGCTCTTGTTGGAATTTCATCACTTACATTAATCATTCGGTGAAAAAATGAAACACCACAACGAAATTGAATTATGAATATTTATGCTCCTGTTATCTGAGTTCTCTCCGTGGTTGTGGAAATTCAATATTATGAAAGCTTAAACAAATATGTTTGTCCATCAAAATTAAAGCTACAAAATTATTCCCCTTTTTACCCTGCTACTTCTTTCAGGTGATGCTCCATGTTATAAAAGTCAGAGATGCAATTCATTTACCAGTTGCTGTTTGTAATTTGTACTTCTTTCTTTCAACGGTTCATAACGTATTCAGTGCTGCTTGTGGCCCATCTTGTGCAGTATTATACACAGAGAACGTAGAACTATACGGACCAAGGTTCACAAGTCCTTAAGATGACATAGTTTTAAGATGAAATGGTTTGAACTGTCATCTTGGTATGACAGATCATTAGTGACATATGTAAAGACAGCAAATTATGCGTGGGAGACAATATTTGATGCTCGTGTTAAAGGAATGATGTAGTGAGCTAAATTATTCATGCCAATGAAATTGTTGACATTGATAATGCTGACACATGGCATAAATGTTAGAACCAAACAAGAAACTTTCAACGAAAATATGTCACGAACTTTGCGTTCATCAGTGGCGTAGCCAGGAATTTTTCAGTGTTGGGGGGCGCTGGGGGGCTGGAACATTACATGGGGGCGTCATGTAGATCAATGATATTTTTTTTAGAAACTCAAAATCTCAGTGGAGGGGGGGGGGCGACTGGGGGGCGTTCATGTCTTGGGTGTTCACATCACATGCATGATGCATTTGGCTTCGATAGTTTATATAATACAGGAAAACATTTTTCGGAGGATTCAAAACATTTCAGTCAACACTTGTGTGGAAACATTTTTAGTTTTTCTGGCGCAATTGGTTTGTTGTGACTTTAAGCTTCGATGGGAATCAAGCATGAGCCTTCCAATTGTTAAAAAAGGAACCATACAAAAACTCCGACACAGTAAACACAAGTGCAAATGTAGATGAGAAAACAACTGCTTCAAAACCAAGGACGAAAAATACTCTGAAAAATACTGTCCCTGCAAATCACGCATCTATCAAAGAGGACATCACGGCTCCATTTTGTCAATGTAAGCAATAGCAGAGACTGAATACAAAATTGAATTTCCTCCTTTTTTATACGCTTAGATAATTTCCAACTTTCAAACATAAGATGCTGTGTGTTTCTCATTTTTACGATCGCCTATCACTGATATTAATGTAATTATAATGTGTAGACTAGTTCGATCTTGGGTTTTTTTCTTACAGAAAAAGCTTTTTTTCTGAAGAAACAAATCACTATTTTGGTTCGAATTTATGATTTGATTCGGTGATCATATTGATTTTGTTACGTTTGGAAGCTTACATTTAACCAACTAAAAGTGATTTTTATTTGAGCTAGTTGTTGTCAAGACCTTTGTTTCATAGAATCTTCAAGATTCTATCTTGACATTTGGAAGATTTTCTTTAACAACCCGTTTTACAAGATTGCAATCGAGATCGTCGTTCCCAAGCTCCAAATAGTGCAGGTACTGGAAACTTTGGAGATAGATAGTAAGAGCCTTCACTGCTCTCAAACTGAAACTGTTGCCTGAAACATCCAGTGATTCCAAATACTGCGCAGCAGAAAGTATGCGAGTCAAGTCTGTCATGTCATCATCATCCAGGTCACAGTCTTCTAATGTCAACCTCTCCAAGGATGGAGTAACAAGTGAAGCCAAATCCCTCACATGACCGTGCATGTTGGTTCCACATACTTCAAGACTGCTTAAACTGCATCCCTCAGTCAGTGCATTTAGTAGGCCAGTGACATATGATGGTGATAGGGATAACACCTGGAGGCTTAACCTCTCAACTTGAGTGTAACGATGGCTCATGCATCCTGCAAGCCACTCGATATCAACGACACTCAGAACATCAACCATTAATATGAGCTCCATTTGACCGAGGAGCCGTTCGTCTAATGATCGGAATGTTTCCTCAAGCAGTTCTAGCTCTTCTCTCCAGCGCTCCGACATGGTGTAGTATATATATATCCCTTCGGACAGATCAGCCACGCCAAGATTTTGTTTGAGCTGTTGTACCTCCTGATATGAGTTGCAGATAAAATTACCCTCCATACTTTTTTCAGAATTGTGTTTCAGTTGTGGAAGATATTGCTCCAACACTTCCTCGACATCATCATCATCAAATAATCTAAATACCAAACAGGTCAGGTTAGAAAGAGCCCGACAATGACCTGCTAGTGTCTTCACTGCCTTCAAACTGAATGCATTTTTATCAAGAAGAATGTTGGTCAAACCATGCCCGTTAGGGAGGAGGCTGACAACGCCCTCAACATCAGTATCATCCAGTCTACAGAAACTTAACGCCAAGGACCTCAAGGATGGTGTAACAAGAGGACCCAATCTAGCAACGTGACTGTGCATGTTGACGCGAGATACATGTAAACCGTGTAACTTACATCCTTTCAGTGCATCCGCTAATGCGCAGGTGTCATCATGCGATATGTAGGATACATGGACCGTCCATAATTGATTTGGTAAATGGGAAATGCACTCTGCTAGACGGTTAGCATCAACATTTTCACCATCACGAATACCAACCTCAATACCTAACAATTTCTTGTTTAGCAATGCCCTATCCGCTGCTTGAAGTGTTTCCACAAGTAGCCGCAACATCTCATTAGATTGATCCTGCAGGACACAATCGATGGTCATACTCCGAATGTCACTTTTGCAACATCGAAAAATATCTCCAAGAACTCGCAGGTCGGCACATGAATTGCACTCGATTTTGAAGGTTGTCCAGTTTAGTTTAATACCAGACTCTGTAAGGTAATAGTGCAGTGCTACTAAGTCCTGTTGGCCGTAGCAGGAAATTTTACTTGGAGGCCATAGTTTAGATGCTAGCCTTTTTGAACCAGACTCAAACAAACACAATCGTGCAACATTGTCGTCACCGTGTCCTACACGGCTCAGGATGAGGGCAGCAGCCTGTTTTGATAAACCGCAGCAAAATCGAAGCACATATTCTACTTTCGAAACACCGAGTGCTATGATTTTATCAATATATCGACGGAAGCTCTGTTCATCACTATTTAGCAAACTGATAAGGTAGTGTGCCGCGCAGTATTCTAGGTGGGACTTATGAAGAAAAGTGACAACTTCAACACTCGTCACACCGCTCGAGACAGTTTCTCTCTGCAAGATACCCATTTGACAACCGTCCTTCAAGACAGATTCGTCCCTACTGAACTCTTCTGGGGAGAAATGAAGTCTTTCTCCATCTAGAAGCCCTTCTATGCAACTTGTCCCGATCCCTTCAAGATTTTGTTCATTACTTGCTGCTTATCAGCATCACTGAGTGAGCTAAAGCGGCGTTCAACAAGAACTTCTGCAAATTCAGTGTACACAGTTGTTAACTTGTCTGGCAATGGTAATGATGGGTCAGGTCTGTTCGGCCAAAGCACACATAGCATACATGCAATGATTGGACTCAGTGACAATTCCTGGAGAGAGTGGTGTGATTTCAACCACGAAATTAAGTCTTCTCCGGATGCGATATTGTCTGGAAAGTGTGCTTTGATAAACCTATCTCTGTTATCGACTGTAAAGCCCTTCGTTTCAACCCTAGCATAGCCTCGAAGCCCTGAATGACATCGTCGACCATGTCTGGCCGTGTTGTCACCAACACACAGCTTTTGAGCAATACCTTGTTTGTCAACAAATCATTGATTGTATATACACCCTCGGTAGATTGTAAAATGTGGCTCGGTATTTCATCCAACCCATCCATCAAGAATGCGACCTTATCTTCGTTGTCACTGATAACCTTTTTCACATCTGACTTGGTCAGTTTGTCAGTGCGCTGCAACAACTGATCAAAAATTTCATCTATGACACAACTTGTCTTGAATTGACTCAACTTCAACAAGAACAGGAGCTCGAATTTGGCAACGTTTGACCCTTTACGTAATTTGGCAACTTTTGACACTTTACGTAATTTGGCGACTTTTGACCCTTTACGTAATTTGGCAACTTTTGACTCTTTACGTTTCTTCCAAGTATTCGCTATCGTCACACACAGAGTCGATTTGCCGAATCCAGCCCCACCTGAAAGAAGAACCATTTTCTCCCCTACCTTCTTTTCATCATACATATCCTCCCATGTGTCCAGTTGCTCTGTTTTTGGTCTATTCAAAATCTTAGTTTTCCCATACATTTTCACGTCTTCACGTGTTGTTTGCTGACCACTCTGAAGGAGATTTAAATGAATATAGAACTCATCAACACCCAACGCCGGTAACACGGAAGAAGACACGAGCTCTGGGATTTTACTTGCATGGGCTTCGTAGAAACTGAAAAGCAGCTGCTGGCAAATCTTTAGATGATCAGGACCTATTGGACAAGTGAGAGGTGTCCATATTAAAAATGCATAAGGCCACAATATATTCCATGATTATGACTCATGAAATATAACTGCATTTGACATAAATATATTTAAAATGACTTTTAATCAGGGGGCGTTGGGGTGGCCCCCCAATTGTTTTGTCGGAAAAATGGTCCTGTCGATAATATTGTTAGTGATTTCTCTTGTTTTTTTTAACAGCAAGCCAAGTACTCAGAGGCTGTCAAGCCACCGTACTTTCAATTTTGTCGTGGAACAGTTCTGGCTACCTACCAGCACCGAGTGGTTTGCTGCAAATTTAGTCTTCAACCCCCCCCCCCCCCTCAAAAAGTGATCTGGCGACGCAGGTGCTGTGAATTTATCTTTTCTCCAAACCGTTCTTGCTAGAAGCTTCGTGCACTCTAAAAAAAACAAATCTGGTTAGATACGACCTGACAAACTATTTGTCAAGATGAAATATTTTCTTGCCAAACAGACACATTTCGTGTGCAAATGACACTTTCAAAATGGCCTAGAAAAGTGAACCCATGAAATGTCATTTTGACCCTGAAAATTGTTAGGTCAAATCTGATTCAGAATCAGAGTCGAAACCGACCCAGGACCTTTACGGGGGTACGGGTGTGTATCCAGCAAAGTCAGCACCTCGCGTGAATTTGATTGCATTTCTTTGCACTCTGAACTTTCAAGAGACATTAAAGGGCCCATGTAATAAAACTCTTCAAACTCATTGCTTGAAATTAACATCTGTGTCCGATTTAACTTGCTTTTTTAATATTCTTCATATTGTCATTTCAAGAGCGTTTTGGTTCCAGTGTCCTTTAAGTAATATCAAGGAAGAGCGCCCTTAGCTTAGTCGCCAGGAAAGTATGAACAATGTTGTTTTTATCAAAAAGGGATGTGTTATAGATTTATACATCTCAGCGGACTGGACATTTGCTACAAATATTTCATATCATTGACACACTAAGCATCAATGTTAAGTAACACTGGCTGAGCTTTACCTCCAGCGGTAACGCTGCAAAACCTCCTAGTATATTATGAATTTTGGAATATTATTATTAGAAAGCCACCACATTGCAGAAACCGTTTTCCAGCATTGTGATGCATTGATAACTTAAGGGGCGCCAAATTCACCAATACATACCTGATTTAGCGGTCTCCTGGGCATGTGACATACCTAATGCAGTATGAGAAACATAACAAAAAGATTTGTTTGATCTTTCGATTTGTTAGAAGGGACATTAGAAAACATTCGATATCAAAACAAACACAGAAATCACAACCCGTCGATCGAAAGATATGTTGAGTATACAATTCCTGAGCAAATCCCCGTCATCTGATTGGTGGGTCGTTGGTCACGAGTCATTGAATAATTCGTCCCAACGGACAGCGTGATCGTGTCGAAAAAAAATAGAAGTTCAATTCCACCGTAAATCGTCCAATGCACGGTCACACTCTTGGTTGCGTTATAACACAGCTCTGATGCTGAACATTGATCGTGTGTAGCAGTTTACAAATTAACAGTCTGAAGACGAGGATTCATTTAGGCGTTGTATAAAACAAACAATGAATGTTTCATTATCGTGCAATTGAAATTATAAGTTCATTCGGTGACAGATGAATGTTAAGATAAGTTGTACTCTTATTTTCTTCGGCATTCGATCCCGTTTCTACAAAATGAGAGTCTCACAAACAATATGCTTATTCTTGTCGTGTAAATGCATAACCATCCCAGGTTAAAGCTGTGTTCCCCACGCTTGTTTCGAGTATATTCACGGGCAAACAGATTCCGTTTCAATAAATTGTTATTTTACTAGCAATATAAAAGATATTCACTTTTGAACTAGACATCGACCGACAAAATCAGTCCATTTTTAGTTATTGAATTATTACTTTACAATTTAGAATGATTGGTTGCAAGACAATAATACTGGTCTCGTGGGGGTAAAGCTGATTGCCGCCCCACAATCAGAAACGATAGTGAACGGACCGGGAGCCAGTCTGCTCCCAAAGCGGATCTGTTTGTACCCAAAGCAAAAAAAGTTTGTTTAGAGGATTACAATTGTCCACAAAAGGGGAGAAGCGAGTTTTTGTTGGAATAAAACATAGTGGTTGGAAAGGTTGAAAAATTTGTTGAGCACAGGAAACTCAACTTTAAGGTTGTTGCTGCTTTCAGGGAGTTCTTTAGCAGTGACGAAATAATAAATTAACACCTGATTCAGTGGTCTCCTATCCTAGATTGTGGACATCTACCAAGTGAAATAAAAAAAATATGTGAAAAATACGCCATCGATTCCGAAGTTGCTTTAAATCCTTCGTTGCTTTTTTTTAAAGAGAAAACAAGTTTGCATTAAATAATTTGTTGCGGTTCCATGACATTAGAACATACAATCATAGACATGCAACCCAGAGCAAATACCTTACTTTTTTTTTTTTAGCAATATTACTGAACACATAAATTCAATATCTGAAAGTAACGTCAATCATTAAATTTCTCTTCACATTACACATACAATAAACATGAATTTACCGCGACGAAGAAATTCTGCAATATCTGCTCTTCCGATCTTCTTCAATGCTGTGCACAGCGTGGTCTTCTGCTGTTCAACACTGGTGGACTGGCGCTGTTTCCATGTTACAAGCATTTCCAGACCTTGCCTTTTGAGATCTTTTTCATGATTTTTCTCGATAGTCTCAACCTGTGGCATGGTGAAGCCCAGCTCCTCAACTGCTAGTGTTACCCATTTACCAGCAAGCATCGTAGCGACCTTGGACAGAGTTTTGTCATCTAAACATGGATCTGCAAAAAAAAAATATCGATAATCTGCGCCCCATTAGGCAAAATAAAACCAGGATTGTTTGCTTCCAACTTGCCAACCTCACAGTTCAGCTGCCAATAATTTGACGCAAAAAAAGTAAACTGTATTTTTGATTTTTTTTTTTTTACAGTAAGTGCTAAATAAACCGAATGATTGTGTAGAACGATATCAAACTGCTGTTAATAAGCAGCCCTCAGGTCGACGATGAGTATCAATCGGTGATATACGCTTATTCGGCCAAGAATTATGCAAACTGACATTAAGACTGCATCTTGACCTCCAGATTCTGACCATTCAGCAAGCGCCTTCTATCGGGTATTCCGTAACCTGTTGTTGTATAGCTAAAACATGACAGCCAAACTGACCAATCAACAGCTCAGTCCGCATTTCTGCTCAAAATGACGTCCCAGTTTCTAATTGACTCCGATTGGCTGGCGAACGGGGTAACATACAATTGCATGCTCGGATTATGAGACGTTCGTAGTGTGGCTATGCTAACTACATGTTCCACGAGAATCACGCAATTTCTCATATCAGTTGTGTGACCTCAGCACAAAACTGAAGCAAATCGCAGGTCGACCATAAGAGCGCCTTATAAAAACCTCTAAAATCAACAAATTTAGCACTATACAGACCAACACGGGCGATAAAAGACCTCAACATTAAACCATTTATACCTGCATCTTTTTGTGTACCAATATTATAGTCCCTATTGCGATCAATTTGCAGGAAGTTAGTGTAAACAAACAAATAGTTATGTTGTTCTTTGGCCTTCTAATCAGGCAGTTCAAAAACTAATCAGATAAGACCTCAAAATGGTTTGATACCTGAGTCAGTGTGTTGAGATACCTGAGTCAGTAGAGAAGCTGCCCTTGATAAAAAGAAAATCATTTTAGTTTTAGTTGAGATGTCTCTTCCAGTCTTGGTAATGTGTTATGTCAGACAACAAGTCCCTCCTTAAACGTTGCTACATGGTCAAGCCACATGTAGTTTTATGCAGCAGACAAGCAGCACTCAGACAAGACACACACATAAGCCCTTAGCATCTTTGCTACATTGCATGTACTTTTCATTTCCACAAGTGTCTGCTCCGTTTTTGTTTTTGTACTTTTAAAGTGATTTGCAATTGTGCAGTGTGGATTTTCGCCTGTTTTTCCCTTTCCCGCCTTTTAATACCTTGGTTTTCTTTTATTCTCTTACAATTTTATCCAATGGCATTTTTGTTTCTTCGGCAAAGATTTTGTTCTTCTTGGCAAATTCTTTATGAGTCTTTGTATTCGCTGTTTGATCCAGATTGAGATTTTCTTTTAATTATTTGAGAAAACTGGGTTATGCTTAAAGTCATTAAGACCTCCCCATTACTCCCTAGATATGCTACCGTTAAATTATCCGAAGTCCGGTCCTATGAGATCTGACAAGTTTCCAGGTCAGATAACCCAAAAAATGAGTCAAAGGAGTTTAATTTTGACCGGGAAAAGTGTCACTTTGAGCCGGGAAAGTGTCACGCTCCATAGGGCCCGATTCCGGGTCATAATTTGACCCAGCACTTTTTGCGAGTGTATGCCTACATGACTTTCCAAAATGTAAATAGTTTATCCATATGCTCTTCACTTGCCCGTTCCCCCTCCAACTTTTGAATGTACGGAGGCCGGGTGTCCGGTGAAAAAAAAGCCCTGTCAACCTTTCACCACGGGTGAAATTGGGCACCCCTCCACTGTAACATCCTCCCCCCCCCCCCCTTCGCTCCCTTGAAAACCCTGACTACGCCGCCGACGGTCGCGCACAACTAAAAAGAAGGGCACTCGTGACAGAACGCTGATAATAAAAAAAGGACTTCTTAAAAAAGGCACTTTACAAACAGTGGGGGAGCGCTTGTTTAAATAGGGGATTAAAATGGAAAGGGCAGTCTTTAAAAAATATTGGGGGGTAAATCCCCCCCCCCCTTTACCCCGCCCCAGCTGGTGACGCCCCTTTACATTTCTACGAACAAAAACACAATTCAAGTAGTTTATCCCCTAGTACATCACATTTTAAAATAGGCAGTAAAATGAAATGAAGCCATACATACCTCCAGATTCTTGATGGATTGGTTTTGCTCTTTTTGGCCTGCTAGGACCGGCTTCATCCTGAGTGTCCTCCTCCCTGACAGCAGCCTGTGATTGTCCATCCATACTGAGTTATTTCGTAGTCCAGAAAGACGAGAAAGACGATGTTGAAAACACCAGCTGCGAAATAATGAATTGGTAAGATGATGTAAGCATTCTTTGTGTGTCCTCAATGCAAACAGTTTTCCACCGCTTGCACTGTTCATCTCGAACAGTGACCACGAGTGTAGTCAGCCTAAATCAGGTAAATTTCAAGCACTCTTCATCTAACAAAACTTGTGAAGGCATAGGTGAGATCTTTACTACTCCAACGATTAAATCTGAAGTCTCATTTCAAATACTGAAATAGAGTGTGTCAAAATGAGAGGAACTTGTGTTTCTTAAAAAAAAAAAAAAAACTTGTTTATGCATTGACTAGACTGGTCTTGGGGCAGTTATTTTCTTGCCTAGAATGTTCTCACTCTATCCAAAAAGTTTGCAATTTTGAGATTTACCCTTTTAGGTAGCCAAAGGGTAAACAAAAAGGCTGGATTTGCGCTACATTTCCTGAAAAAAAGTTGTGTTCCTGAATTTAAACTATATGGAAACTATATATTGGGTAAATGTCAGGACCTTTTTTAAATGAAGTTCTGCATGTAGCACTTTCAACATCTAGGACATAAACGCCCCAATAATAAGCTTTCTTTTAGTACAAGAATCATTCAAATCAGTCATGTACTTTTCAAGTTACGGAATTTTAAACACAAACACCATTTTAAAGCTTTGTCCACGGATTACAAAAAAGTTAAGTGTTCTATCAGGCTCAGCAAAACAAAATCAATTCTTGTAGGGATGTCTGTGAATTGTTTCCATTTTGCTGAAAAAAAATCCTTTTTTTCTGATCCGTGGACAGATCCCTAAAATGGTACTTTTATACGTAGCGCAGCAAGCAAACCCCGGAAATTGCTGGCTTGAATTCAAGCCTACAGATGATATGACTCTTGTTTTTGGTTATATAAACATTGGCAATGTTTATATAGTATCTGCCCAATGTTGATAAAAAATTATACCAACTGCATAAACTATTGAGAAAACTCTTCCCTTAAAAAATGATCCGTTATTCCGAAAATATGTACCAACAGTTGAGGTAAAATCACACCAATTTTAAGCAAATAATATGGCCCAAAATGTTTGACCAAACGTTTTTATAGTGTATGTAGAGTAGGTTATGATACATGAATGGGTTGGTAACAAGTACGGTTTTTAGGGAAAGATCAGAAAAATTATAGGAGAGGGGCTTCTATAAGTCGAAACATGGGCATATGGTTGGTTTGTGCTCGAAGGACCAATAAATACCACCTTAGGGTGTGTTGGTATTCCCCGACCCTTCATAAAACAATGTTTATCCTTGTGTATCGATTTTATATAAATAAGATGAGTGAAAGAGAAAGAAAATAATAATGGAAACTATGGAACCTCCTGAGACTTGGAAGTGTTACTTCAAAATGGTAATGCGCCACGTAAAGAAGTCTACTGGTATTAAGTTATTACCTCCGCCAAGGAGGTTATGTTTCCATCGACGTTGGTTTGTTCGTTGGTAAGTTGGTCTGTATGTTAACAAGATAACTCAAAAGGGATGGCTACTTGGTACAAGCACAAATCCACTATATTTTGGAAATGATCTAGATCGTGGTCTGGATGCAGGATTATTTTAAAGGATTCTTCACAATTTATATTATGTGAGTATTTCTGTTGGGTGTTTACTGAAAATTAGGCGGGGAATCGTTCAGCCTTGGCGGAGGTTCACGCTCTCTGAGTGCTTTGTAGTTTAAGTTTCTTCTATTTCAAACCAAACTGGAACTGTTCGTATCTTTGTTTGTTAGACTTTACACGCCCCCCCCCCCAATAAAAATGACGTTTTTGAAAAAAAGGAAGTGTTTGCTAGGTAAAATGCCAGTATGCCCTAGGTTCTGACTTCGGCTTTACTGTGTGAAATGATCGCGCCATACTAGAAAGGTCACCAGGAATTTGACAGACTTTTTTTTCTCGATTAGATTTATATTGTTCTAAACAAAGTGATATAATCCGAATATATTATAAGGCTTTAAAAAATCCAATTGGTTAACAAAGAACTCAAAAATTATATTATAGTTATTTAAATAAAATGTTGTGCAGTAGGAAATCACGTTTACCGGTTATATTATACTCAAGGAGTAGATGGGGAAAAATATAGATCTATAAATAGTTCGCAAATTCTACTGCGTATATGGCATATGCGTAATGACGTTGGCTGTTGTCATGCTTACCAAACTACTTCAGGGGCATATCTAAAGTATAGCAAGTAAACCATTAACAGCCAACAAGGGGCGTCTTAAAAATATTGTTGTTGAACAATTTAACACTTGGGCAATTCCACGGTCACGTTACATTTGGAATGGGTTTACTGGTAACTCAGGTTTTTTCATCGGTAATTCACGTTACACAAAATGGACATGGAAAAACAATTCTAATTAAAGGGAATATACAACATTTGCAAACAACGAAAAATACAACTATCAAGTTTTTGCGAAATACCTTAACAGGATGTTGGTAAATGACAGTCTAAAGCATCCTGTAAAATTATGGCACCTGGTATACTGTCATTTTCAAGAAAAGTGGTATTTTTGTATCAATTTCCAACGCTGATCGGCCGATCAGCGTTGGAAACAACTGGCTTTTTATCAAATACTGGCCCCAATTGACCATTGCACTTGTTTGCAATCGATTACAAACCTATAAACGGGTACGAGCCAGCTAGACTGGTTCCCTGACCTTACAATTCCCCCAATGTATGTAAACTGCTGTTTCTTCTTATATGGAGTCAGGGAACCAGACTACAGGAAAATGATCGTTTTTCTTGGTTTTTATAGCATTTTCGAACCCAAAACCTCCAAAAAGTTAGTGTAACTATATTTGCTTTATATTTCCGACCCCCCAATTCCACCCATTTCTGAAAATTACAGCAAAAGCAAATGATGTATATTCCCTTTAAGTACCTTGCATTTCAAAGTGTTCTCATACTGTGAACTGTTGCAAAAACACTTTTCAGTAAGTCATATTCTACCAATCTACCAAAGCAATCATAAAATCTGTACAGGCGTATATTTCTGTAACTCACGTTACGATAACTCACGTTACAGTTCTCCCATCTTTAGAACAAGATAAAACATAACAAAATAAAATCCCACAAGAAAATGTGTTTGGCATAAAATATGAAAACTTCAGTGGCGTATCTATAATGTTAGGATTGGGGTGGAGCGGCCAATGACGTATCCTTCCCAATTATTAATTTTTTTTTTTATTTTTTAGCGTTTGTTAATTCCATTTGAAAGAAATTAAATTAGTCAGGACGCATTCCCTGACCTTTTTTTTTGCGTTTATTAATTCCATCTGAAAGAAATTACATAAGTCAGGACGCCTTCTCTGACCTTTTTTTAGGGGGGATTTCGTCACGGCTTTGAGTAGTATTCTTCACAAGTATTAGTTGAAAATAGTCCTTCATCGCATACAATTAAAGTGTGTTCCCACCTACGTGCATCCATAGCCCATACTGTCATTGGATGCATAGCTGATGAAGTTGGGGATGATTAACCACAAGAAGGTTAGCATGAAGCAGGTTTCTAAATGAAAGACGGAATTTAAGCCCATGTAACAACCTAAATAATCTCGTTGACAATTTTACATATCAACACTTTTTCCCCCATCATACCCTTGCAATGACAGCTTTTACCAGTAGGTCTATATCGTAATGGTAATTATTCTTTTTGGTTGTTACAGTTACTCTCTTTTTCCAAACAAAACTAACTTTTATGTGTTCTGAGTAAAACTGAGACACAAATCCAGTACCGATGTTCATCGAAGCATACAATGTTCAGTTCGTTGGGTGAATAGCCAGTATGGGCCCTATTAAGTAGTGACTAGTGTACCGGGCTTCGGCTTTACTGTGTGAAATGATCGCGTGATGTGTCAGCTCAATAGAAAGTTAATCATTAACAGCTAACAAGGGGTGTCTGAATACAATAATTTTGTTGAACAAATAAACACTTGGGGGCGTTGCTTCTATCCACTTTGTACTGTTATTCAATGCAGTAAAAGTATTAAGAGGGGAATTTTCTTATAGAAGTTCCCTTAAAATAAAGTGATTAAACTACAAAAAATACAAACAAAACTAAAAATGTGTTTGGTACGTTCACAAACACATTTCTAGTTTGTGTCACGTGACAAACACAGCTGTTTAAGCTATTTGAAATGAATCTGTGACTAACACTCATCATGACGTCATCATGACGTCATTTTAAATAACGTCTGCAACACAGTCAAAGTTACAACCAAATCGGCTAAATCGTTCTGTAGATATAGAAATGACTTGTGAGGATGTCATCATGACATTACCTCAATTTTCATCTATAACATATCCCCCAAATCTGACATATGTATTATACATATAAGCCTAAAATACACCTGCATACACATCATCATGACATCACTTCTCAGTACACACCTACTGGAATTTGTATCCTTTTGGAGTCATTTCTTTGTTCTCGTGTACTAAAATGTTAGAGTTTGCAAGTTTTGTCTCAAAATGCTCCTATTTTAACCAGAATTAATTGGAAATTAACTGGAGAATTAACCTTGCAAATCCCTAGTTTTTGAGTAAAATCCATATATCTATTTCGTGATAACCTTGTGGAGACGTATTCACCTATAGAAATTGAGCTGTGGAGACGTATACAATCTTTTGTTCCCTATTATTCACATGTGTTCCCTTTTATTCACAGGGTACCGTGTACCAAATCATTTTTTTAAGGGGAGGATCACGCAACGGTAAGGTGTAGATATGGCACGCTGTTATACGGGCACTGCACTCTATACTGCCACGGGTCTACTGGAGGGTCTACTAATGTAAAGCTAGAAAAATATTAATTCTATTTGAAAATCTTTTTGGGGGGTGCCACACCCACAAAACACGAGTATACTTTAAAGGTACGCATGAGTACGTTTCAGACAAAGGTAAAGGGTTCTTAATTGCAGTTTTATTAGGGCGTTAAATCTCGTTTCATTTGTAGGATTGATTATTGACACCCTTATTATTAACTGGGATACGCACTTTGATTATGTGAACACAAATTTCGAGAAAAGTTGGGATTTTACATAACTTATGGCATATTATCACACTGATTATCTTGTGTACAACCTGTAGTGAACCCCACATTAATTATGGTCTTGAAGAATTGGATGGCATATTCCATACTTACTTAAACAGAGAGTGTCATTATTAAACAAAAACAATGGCAGTCCGAGCTATTACTTTCTCGAAATACAATTAACATTCTGCCCCACTACTCAGTAAACTCCAAATTCGTGCCATAGTTAAACTGGATAGAATTGTATTAAGTGCATATAATGACTTGAACCACATTCCTCGTGCCTTTTCTTTGTGTAAAGGGTTTACACAACACTGCATTTGTCAATTTTCTTTTTTTTACGCTAGAACTATATTGTGGAATGGAGTACCAACCTCTATCAGAAACAAACCTTCGGGGGCTTTTGTAAATCAGCTTTGATGGAATATTTATTTCGTGATCACCTTGTTTATAATAGTTTTTGCTTATTCTGGATTATACTAGGCTGATAAATCTGCCTACATAAAGATCACTGCCAGGGATGCTTTCGTGTAAGCTAAAGTATTCTTTTCGCGGAAGGGGCTTTCGAAATAATGTCCCAGGACAGTTTCCATACGGGAAGCCAGTCATGATAAAAATTATTGCTCGATCGATTCATGTAAATTAATGCGTCCCTGGCACTGTGTCGAGGGATATTCTAATAATTAGCAAGCATGCTGGCCCTTTGACCCATTAATTATTGTACTTGCAATCATGAATAGAGGTTATTCTCCCAAAATAGTACCGGACAAACAGTTACATATACAATTCCATACCTTATTTTATATAACTGATCAATAGTGTAAACTTGTTGATCTGTAAACTGATTCATTCGGGTATAGAAAATGATAATAAATTATATGAATTTTTTGTTGATTGTTGATAAACAGAATTGGGATATGGCATACCTTGATAATATTGACAATCAATTTTATATATATATTTTTTTTAATCTTTTCATGTAATTAAAGCAGTTCATGCATTAATTGCTACCTAACATTTTATTAATTAAATAACAAGTTAATGTACATACATGTACTTATTTGATAAACTGAATCATATATAATTATAAGTTCATAAACGAATATAAATATTGAGATTGCGATACCTTAAACATTTTGATATCCTTTTCTGTGGAATTGTGACGAACCATTTTATTTTATTCCTCAGTGCAATCTTGATAATTAATAAACTAACCTTTTAATATCATATTTTAATTATTAACGCTTTTAAAGTTTTTTGAAGGTTCTTTTTAGGAATCAAAATGGGAATAGTATCGTATTGTATTTTCGTGGTAATTAATTTTGTTCGCCGCCATGATGGTTTTTAATAAAGCTGTCTAACTATATGTTTCCTTGTATCTCTCAATTGGGTATTAATAAACCCAACCTAACTTCCCTGCTACAAAAAGGCTGCATATGCAACATATTCACTGTAGTTACTTACCTATATTTGAGTGTACCAGCAAATCGCCCGCCCCGTTTATATGAAAACAAGGTGAGGAAACCTTGCCTTCGTTAGGGAACAGGTAAATATTCCTCTGGAAAGTACGAATGTATTCATACTTGGTCCGGTCAAGATCGATGGCATCCATAGAGCTGTATAATTATTCAGCTCTATGATGGCATCCTACTGAATAGCCAGCCATCAGTGAACTGCGTCACAGACTGAGGGAGTGGCGTGATCAAGCTATGATCACATGACCAGCGGGCTGGGCAAAACCATTAATTGACAGAGGTCTATTTGATGTGAAGTACAGACTTTGCGTTTTAATTTCAGTAATTCTACAGAGCAACGATAATTTGAAGTCACTTATAGCATGTTAATCATACATCTAGCTCATTAATGATGCACTTTTACTAAGAACAAAATATCAGACGATGACTGAATTATGCATGTTTTCAAAAATATTACCTAAAATTTGGCACTGTCTGGAATTTTTCGAGCTATGTAATGCTTTTTATAGAAATGATTACAAATGTTTAGTATAGGATGTGTGTATAGGCACCCGATTCAACTAGCCACCGTTGTTAATAAGTGAGGCTTGTGGACGTAATACGCCAGGTTATAAACATGACCGTTATATATTACCGTATCATGTAATACAAAGGGACACGATAATAAACGAGGCGCGTGCATATTGCGTGCAGGGCTCGAGTTAATGCATACATTGTATGCGAGGAAAACTGTCGATCGGTGGCGCTTTTCAAGATGGCTACTGTACTACGAGCTAATCCGAGCAAATCGTACGAAATACATCGACTTTTTTCAACGTCCTAGTACATCACTAGTGAGCTACAAGTACAGTGAAGGTGAGTGGTGGGTGTTTGATCGTGTCTCATGACTTCTGATGTCAACCTATGTTTGTTTTGTTTCGTTTGGTCCATTTCAGTCACCGATTGACAACACATGATTGAGAAAAATAAACCACATGTGGCCTATTTACTGGACTGCCTCCGTAAACATAGGCCACACATCCACATGTACAAAAACGTGTCGCACTTTGCCAAATTTTGATTTTCACATTTATTTAGGCTTAGTTTGTAGGTTTTTTTTGCTTTAGCACGTTTAGAAGCATACTCACCCTCTTTAATATACATGTAGGCTAATCAAAAAGTGCTGCCTTTTTTCAGATGTCTACTTTTCGTGAAATTTCCAGATACATTTGCAAACGTTTGCGTATCACAATTTCAACATGAAAGTTCACAAAAATTAGACATCTAAAAAATGCAGCACTTTCTGATTAACCTATAAAGAGGGTGAGAATGCTTCTAAAGCAAAAAAAACCTACAAACTAAGCCTAAATGTGAAAATCAAAATTTGGCAAAGTGCGACATGTTTTTGTGCATGTGGATGTGTGGACTTTGTTTACAGAGGCAGTCCAGTAAATAGGCCATTTTTATGGGGCTACCTCCCCACCCCCACTTATTGGTAAAGCCTGTGAAGAAATCGACCAGATAAGGAAAAACATCGTCATCACTGCCTAGTGTGTGTGTAACTGAGGAACTGAGGGAGTGAGATTTAAACTGTTAATATGAGGCCTACTTTATCGCGATCGTGAAGTGTAGGCCCCTGTTTTGTTTTGTTCAAATTAGAGTCAAAAATATTTTTTATTGCTCAAAAATCACCTTTACAATCAAAAGCAGACTTTTCTCAATCCTAATGACACCCATTTGGCAATTTTGAACAGATTCTTGGGGTAGAATTTAGTATTGTTTATTGAGAATATCGCCAACTAGCTGACTAGTTTGGTAGGTCCAATAATTTTAAAGTGGATTTTGTTCCCTTATAGGAACCAGGCCCTACACTTCACAATCACCGTTAACATGACCATGCACTTATTTATCACAGCATATAGGGGGCCTAATTAACCCAAAAATGTGTTCCTTCCTCCATGGTCAGACCCAAGGTTTGTGAATAGCAAGTGGTCACATTTTTCCCCAGTCGAAAATACCCCTCTAAGTCTTAGTAGGGTAATGTCTGGACAAAGATACCTATTGCCATTATGTTGGTCCTGTCCAGTATTTACTTAGATGTAGATGTAGAAACTACCAGGGGTAGACGAGGGCTAGGGAAAACAACAGTTTAGGTGGCAGGTAGGGCCATTTTTTTTTCACGGCTTATGACATGTTTTGACATGGCTCTGAAAATAACTACCCCAACTCTATGTCACAATCATAGTATCAATTGGAGCTGGTGTTTCCTATTCTAAATCTGACTTTTAAATCGGTGATTAGCTTGATTAGGCCAAAAAAAAAAGTCTCCGGTTTCTGGTATGCGCGTGTCGCCGTAGCCATGCGCGTCGGCAAAATGAAAAAGTTTTTTCCAATGAAAGATGATGTCTGAAACCGCCAAACTCACTGGTTTGACTGGAATCCTGCTGCTGCACAATTTTAACGTGTTTTTAGATGGGGTTATGATCGAGAATAAGCTTTATGTGGCCTCTCTGGACTCCCATATATTTTCACTAAGTTTAGTCGGGCACCATTTGCAGTCATCAGCTGACATTTGAAGCAAAAAAGTCCGGTAAAAAAAAAGCCGCGTTGCCGCACCACATTTTGGACAAGCTCCATACCAGAAACCGGAGACTTTTTTTTTTGGCCTTCGGATGATATTTGTCAAAAAATACAAAACAAGAGTTCTGCTTCCTATAACATGGCATTTGAAATTAGGTTAGGTACACAATGTACATGTAGGTAGGGACTAGGTAATGTGTTTTTTTTTGTTTTTGTTTTTTTGTACGATCATATGAAAGTTGCCTGCGTGTACATGTAGTCAGTCCAGGGTAAAAGTAGCCTTAGTCAAGGCGTTTGCCATTATCTGTCCATACGGTATTTGGTATTCTTGGGTCGAGACGCTCCTTGTGTTTTTATTCAACCAATGTGTAATCAACTCAAAACCATGAATCATCACGGATAGAGGGCACCATCTCCTGACCAATCGCTACCACACACAAACCGCTATCACAGCATCAGCCACGAACTGCTATCACAGTGAGCGTCTCGGTGCTCTCCTATGATATCATGTGACATACATGTAAAGGTAGTGAGCTCAACATGCATACACATGTATTCAACAATGTTCATCAGACTAAGTACATGTACGAGGCTTCAACACATGCCAGCATATCTTATGTCATATGTCTGCTTGAACGTACATGTACATGTACATGTACGTGTGTTGTCTGTAAAAAAATCGTTCAGCAATGCCTTTTAGTTGTGTGCAACTGCTAGGCTATTGGTGGAAAGTTTTGATGAAGTGCGGCATAGTGGTGGTAAACATGTTACTAGCAAAGCTTTTGCCGACATTTGCAACTAAATGTAAATGACTAAAATAACTTACATGTAAAAGTTGTGATGGAAATTTATTTTATCTGAAATATGGATAGTTCTGGATCCATGTTTTGAGCACTGAAAAGATGGTTGTGCAGTTCCAGCTTGATTAACATTTTGGTTTCGCAGATGCCGGAAAACCAAGAAAAACGATCATGTTTTTTGTAGTCTGGTTCCCTGACCCCACTTAAGATAAAACGGAGCAATTTATATACGTCAGAGAATTGTAAGGACATCAGGGAATTGGTCTAGCTACGGTATCTTGTACCCGTTCACAGGTGTGTGATCGATTGCAAAGAAAGAGCGGATTAACTACATGTAAATATGATAAATTGGGAGGAGTATTTGAGAAAAAAAACTCTTCCACCTTTTCTGTGAATGTGGAGGAAGAGGCTGTAAACACAAGGAAATATACTGCGAAGAAAATAAAGCAGTGCAATGCTGGTCGGCTGACTAGTGTTGGAAATTGATTAAAAAAATAGCATTTTAGCAAAAAATAGCATGTCCAGTAATTATATTTTGTTAGATTTTGGTAGTTTTGTTTTGTGATGTTTACAAATGTTGTAGGCCCTGTTATCCCTGTAAACATAAACTCTGGTTCAATAAGGGCCAAGGTACATGTAAATGTCACTTTTGGTAATATGGTTTGAAATGTTCTCATTTTGTTTGCCAGATGCCTAAATATCGGCCAAACGTTTTTAAGCACAAAGTCACTGTTCTCTCTCGGTCATCAAAGGGAGGAAGATTTAAGCGGAAGGATGTACCCCTGAAGGACCTTTTTTCATCAGGGCCCTCAGATACCCAACAGGTACTTTTTAAAATAGTTATGAAAACTAAGAATAATAATGTAGTATAATGTTATGTACATGTTGCATTTGTATTGCACAAATTTCACGTGATATGCTGAAATGCGCATCATAATTATTACCCCTGTTCATCATGAATGAGACTATTTTTCTGCAGCAGCTTGAGATCAGTGCAATTTGGTCTCTACCTTCACAGGTACATGTACCCATTTATACTCCTGGGTGGAGGGAGGTAATCACAGTAAAGTGTCTTGCCCAAGCGTGGAAACACAATGTTCCCGTCAGGATTCATACCCATGTACAATGTACCTTGGCAAAAGAGTGAAACGTCCACTTCGAGTTTCGAAGTAGTTATTTCTATTATAATGCACAATCAATACAACAAACGACTATTTAGGGAACATTTTTTATGGACCCCATCATGTTTGTTAAGGTAGCGTTATACATGTACTGTATTATACAAATAACGAATGTTTGTGAGTGCGATGGTAAGAATAATTTCATGAGGTGACAGATTGAATGTTCGCCTCGTGGAATAGAACATTCAATCTGTCACCGAATGAAATTATTCTTTCCATCGCACGAACGTAAAACATTCGTTATTTGTTTTATACAACACCTTCCAATCGTCGGACAGCATACTGAATCTGTCTTTTTGTACTGGGAGCATCTGAGTTAGTTACAAGATCTGTTATTTCTTCATCGGTAAGGAGCATAAACCCTGTACTACAATCGCCTGCCATTTTGTTTGTTTACGCAAAGTAGCTATGTGTATAGCGCCGCCAGTCGAAGGCATTCGTCCTTACTGCGCATGCGCAAAGTGAAACGGTATAACACATGGGTATAACGCATGGTCGCACCGTACATTATACCGCATAATAATATGTCACGTGATCTACAATTCACCAATCAGATGACGGGGATTTATTCAGGTGTTGTATAAACATGAATAATTGAGGTTGTGTATTTAGTCGTAATGTACTTCTACATACTGAGTACTGAACCATGTTCACATTGTTCCTTGTTTTTTTTTGTACAGGTAGCTGAAAA